AGGCTGAGTTCCCAGCCCCCGGCCCCTGGCCCCTCTGAGGCTCCCACAGTGAGCTCCCCGTGCCCACCTCCTTTCTCCTTCCAGGGACTCCCTTGGTTGGATGGGGGTGCTCTTCCTGGCCCCGTCGTTTCCCATTATCACGGACCAGAGGGGACTTTAACAACTCGAGGTTCTGCGGGTACACCACTCAGGACACCACAATTTCGACAGACTGCCACTGGCGTCCCAGTTCTCCACCCCTCCCTGCATCCGTGTCTCTTGCTATGGGATTTGGCAGTTACTGTCACTAAGGGGGCATGTACACACCCGCCCCGTGGCGCTGGGCTCTGCCTCATGACACTCTCACCAGGCGTCCTGCCTGTTCCAGCCCAAGCCTTCAGAGTCCTGGATCTTTCTACTTGCTCTTCTGTCATTACTGTAAAAACCTGTGGCAGGGCTAGCCCTCTGGTCCCAGGAAGAAGCAGAAATGGCCCAGCTGGGACATTCCTAAGTCAGCCTATGCCCCACTGACCCACATGAGCAGAGCCTCCAGCCGGACCCACCCTTCATCAGCCACCCTCGAGAACTCGCAGAGGCTTGAGCTAAGTAATGGCTTCCCTGCTCTGCCCCTGAGATGTGATTGTTAGGCAGCAAGAGAAAACTGGTACCCAGAGTAGGTGCCACCTTAACTCGGGCCTGTGATACACAGTGTTGGTTCCCAGACCAGGCAGAGAATGGGGAGGAGGCTGGAAGAATGATGCTCCTGTGTGCAGGGCAGAAGCGGGGAAGAGAAAAAACAGACCTAATGAACTTCTGGACCTGGGAAGAGATCCTGAGTGTCAAAAGCATGAGCTGGCTGCTTTTAGCTAAGTAGTCTAAGCTGACTGTAATGAAATCCTAAGCTCAAAAAGACCCTCAGAGGAAACACAATTTAATTAAATGTAACTTCTTCCAGACCTTTCTAGGTTAGTTAAAGAAGAAAGAAAAAACAAACCTGTTTCTCATCTCTAGCTTCTCCAACTAGCAAGAGTCCTAAATTAAGTTACCGCGTGAGAGCCAAGATTAAATCCAGAACACTGCCAGTAAGCCCTGGACTAAGGGTAAAGACTAAACCAAGGGTGGGGCTTAACGCAGCGCCTCACAGACCCTCATGGCTGGAAAGAGGGGCATCACAGAGGCTTAAGAGTCTTGGGCCAGAGCAGCCCGGCATACTCCCAAATTCCAGTGATTAAGAGAGAAGCATGTCTCAAAAAGAATTATGGATGTGGCTCTTGGCACATAAACCAAATGTTCAGAAAATTCACATCGTTTTGGAGAAAGCTGTATTGACAAAAAGCTCTGCCAGTTGAAAAGACACTAAGGTGGTTTGAAATGTGAAGACCAGCTTTCTATACGTACATTTTCCAGTGCCCTCTTCAGGGGTCAAGGAAGGTGATGGAAAATGAAGGATATCTCCAAGGGCAGGACCAAGAAGCTGCGGGAACCAGGGCCTGGGAAGCCCCTCCTAGGGGGTGGAGCCAGGGCTTAATGGAGGGCAACTCCCCACCCCAAGGCAGTTTGCCCAGGGGCACTCAGCATTGCTGTAGGCAGAGGACTGCTCTCTACCTCTTTGCCACCCTTTTTTGGAGAATAAGGTTCATTCTGGTTACACCAGCCCACTTTCACCAGTGTCTGCTAAGTGTGGGAGGGGCAGAAGACTTGGGTTTTTATTTCCTAGGTCTCTGGATCAAGAAAAGGGACATACAGACTTGATATGATCTTAAGATCCTAGATTACAAGCCTGAGGCCATGATTGCTTGAGACTCTGGGGGCGGGGGTGTTTCCAGGATGACATAAGCATGTTCTGCACAGGGAGGGACATGAATAGTAACAGTGGTCACCATGGCAAGCTGGGAAGAATAAATTAGTGGGCCCTGGTCTTCACCCCCCCCCAAACCTATGCCGCTTGCCATGCGAGTGGAGATGCCATGGATTTTCCCATCTCTGGACTTCGGGGTCAATGATGTGACTCTGGCCCCTCACGCTCAACAGTGGGCATGAGGGGCCAAAGGTCTGAAAAGTGCTTATGCGGCTGGGTTTGCCTTCTCACACCTCTGCCACCATCATAACAGCATTCCTGGGCTGGTCCAATGGTACCAAGAGTGGGAGGGGGGCATGTGCAGCAGAGCTGAACGCCTCCAGCCCAGACCAGCTGCAACTGGCCGACTCTTAGCTGACCCCTGGCACCGTAAGCCAGCCCAGCCAAGATGGGCAGGGACGGGCAGCCAGCCCAGGCAGCACATGAGTTGCAGATGCAGGCACTGATTGCTGTTTTCAGCCAGAGCTTTGGGGGTGTTCCTTGGGCATCATCACTGGAACCACAGCTGACAGAGAACCTCAGCCCAGCCAGCACTGGGCCCTTGAGGTCTTGCTTGGTGTTTCATCCTCTCGCATGTCTGGGGTTGGGGGGTTCTTCCTCTGCTCCACCCTGGGTTCCCAGATGGCAGAGGCTGAGTCTGTTCCAGCCCATTGCCTTGGCATTTAGCACAGCCCCTTGATAAATAGTTTCGAAGGGATGGATAGATGATGAAACTGAGGCACAAAAAGAGGGATAGTTTTGTCCTGAATAAATGAAACCTGAGACCTGAGGACCCACATGCTCTGGCCAGATGTACACCATGGCCTAGGGTGGTCTGGGGCCTGAGGTCAGGGACTCACCTGCCAGGCAAGCCTCAGAGTCTCCACGGTCAATGAGGAGGTAGCGCGGGCTCTCGGGGACCAGGGGAAGGGAGGCCAGCTGGAGGGCCCCAGGCACCAGGCAGCTGGCCAGCAGCAGGGGCCAGGCCTGCGGGCCACCCAGGAGCTCCCTGGGGAGACAGAGGAGAGGCTGAGCCAGACGCCTCCTTACTGGAGTCCTGCTCCCTACTGCCTGCCCCACTAAGGACAGAGGGTCTGTGTTACTCTGTGCCTCCTCCTAACGGCTCTGGGCCTGGACCCCCCAGGTGGGGACATGAGAGAGGGCAGGGGCATGGCCCTACCTCATCCCTTGCAGCTACTCTCCCCAGGGCTCTTCCCAGGGCTCCAGGCTCTGCCCTCACCCCTCTTTCCCGGGATGCTCCCTTTAAAAGCCGAAACCTGCACCCTCTCCTCTGTCCAGACCCATTCTTTGCTCCGCGATCTGGAGAGGCCAGAAGAGGCAGATGCACACGAAGTGCGGCTGACCGATAAGTGTTCTGTGTACCAGCCAGAGGCCCGTGGACAGGGCTTCAATGCCTGAGTACAAGGAAGCAACGCCTTAATCTCCTTGGGAGGTGGGAGAAAAATTTAGGCAAAGAAGGGCTTTTCCTGGACCCCTCTAATCTCTCAGTGCCCGGCGAGGGGCACTTACCTGAGTCCGACCACCTGACCCATCACGATTCCCAGGGCGGTGAAGATGGCTGAGGTCATGGCCACAGCTCCTCGGAGCTCCTTGGGAGCACTCTCCCCCAGGTACATGGGCTGGACGTTCATGCTTACACCTGGACGCATGTGCAACAGACGGTCAGCCACAGGCCTGCTTCTCCTGCCGCCTCCTCAGTGCCACCTGCCCCTCCCCTACGGGATCCCAGCATGAGTGCTGCTCCCTCAGTCCCTACACTCGGAAGGGTTCCTCTCCAGCTGCTGGAGGGCCAGCAGGATGCCAGCCCCCCACCCAGGACTTCTGAGAGAGAAGTCCTCAGATCAGCTCCCACCTCACAGTTCCAGCACTTTTTAGCCCCGGTCACAGTCAGCGGAAGGAATGTGGGGGGCTCTGAGGGAGTGGATGCTCCCCAGCTGTCCCAGCTCTCACCTCTCACCTCAACTATCCCTGGAGGGTCCCCCCTCATCCCAGCTTCCCCAGGGAGGCTTCTGGCACCCAGGCAGCCAGTGGGAAAACAGCTGGACAGTATCTCCCACCGCCCACCCCAGATGCTGACACCTAGCAAGAAAGTGGGAGGCCATTGTATTGGGGCGTCTTCCAGCTGGGAACACGGCAGGTGGGGTGTGCGGCTCCATCCCCTCCCTGGCCTGGGGTCTGGAAACAACCCTCAACAAGGTCCTGCCTCTCTCCAAGCACTGGGTGGGGGCAGCCAGGAGGAAGGTGGGTAAGCTGATGGCCCCAGACTCTTGGAGGTGCCCCTGTTCTTCCTACAAACACTTAGGGAGGGATCCCTTCTGTGCTCGGACTCCAGGCACAAAGACAAAGTCTGACCCGGTCCCTTTTCCCTGGAGTGTGGGCTGTACCCACTTTAAGTGTCTATTAAGATGCACCATATTTAATCATTCTGCAAAAAAAAAAAAAAGGTGGGCACAGATGGAAAAGAAATCAATGAACAAAGAGGATAAAGGAAGGAATGAAGGGAGTAGAGGGAACGCATGAAGAAGAGGAACAGGGAGGCAGGAGGAGACACCCCCGCCCGGTACCTGCGCTGACTCCCACCAGCAGCCTTCCCAGCATGACCATCTCAAAGGACCCGGCCCTGCGGCTGAAGCCAAACAGGGTCGCTGCGGCCACCACAAAGATGTTATTCACCAGCAGGGACTTCTTCCTTGGGGAAGCCAAACACAAGGAGAGAGGTTTGGTTCAGTCCCAAGGGGACCCTGGGAATCGGGGGGCCCTGATCAGACCAGTGTGTGTGCGGGGACGGCATCAGTAGTTTAAGCCACATGGACAGAAATGACACTGGCCACTGTACTTAGGGTCACTCGTGGGATGCCCCGAGAGGCATACTCCTTCCTGATGGGACAGATGGCAAATCAAGGAGGGGGCGCAGGGAACAGCAGCTGTGGGCTCCAGACACTGGGCTTGGAGGCGCTGTCCGGCAGGCCACTCAGGAGAGCGCACAGTAGATCATACAGCTGGCTGTAGCCACAGGGAACCGAGCCAGAGCAGGACACGGCCCTGCCCCCATCAACAGATGAGCCAACGCTCAGACCACCTGTGTCTGGAGGACGGCGGATGACAGTTGACCGTAACAAACGCTATCTGGCGGTAACTCCCACGGTGCCTAATAAGCCATATACGGCTCTTCACTCGTATAAATTAACAAAGGACTTAGATTGTGGCTATTTCTCTGGCGAATGCATTTTGCTGGATTTCAGGACACAGACAACACCAGAAACATGTAGCTTCCACGGGCAAGTCAGTACTGCACCGATACCAACCTCCCTAAGGGGATGCCAGCTCTCCAGCTCAGGGCCACCCCCATCTGCTCCACCAGGAGCCACCCATCCTTCAGGCATCCCTCTGGCCCACTACTTTGATACTTTATGCTGAAAGGACACTCGATGCCTCGGTAAGGTGCCACTGGAGGCAGCCTGTTCCACCCTGAGTGTCGTGATCCCACACTTCCACTGGGTGACTTGCAAACCTGGAAGTTTTGATGGAGTATTCTCTAGGGGGTCTAAACCTACTGTGGGATGCTCTGCTCCTCGATCGTCTAGACCTGGGAGACTAAGGTGCTCCAAGTGCCCAGGTGGCTGCCTCCAAGGAGAATCACAGTGCAAGACCAAAGTTTCTGAGCAAAGCCACCACTTCAGCGATTTACTCTCCTCTTAATCAGAAACAACTCCTGGCTTCTCATTGGGCCCAAGAGGAGAATCCACACCAGACTTGGGTGTTTGGCTGTTGTTTTAGCCAACTGAGTCCTGATTTTCTGTCACTAGAAGTTGAGACATCCTAACAGATACTCCTGTTAAACACACCAGCGTGATACCTGTGCAATTCTGCATCCAACAAAGGAGGTTCCATCAGTGAAAGAGGAAGGACAGGTGCCCATGGAACTCAGTGTTGCGTTAGGAACCCCATCATCCAGAAGCAGATGGCCTTCAGGTGTGACATCAGTCACTGCTCCCACTCAAGCATGAAGACTGGGGTCACCCCAACAGGCAAAGAGCCTCAGTCAGTGGACATGTTGACCCAAGACAAGAGCAGAAAACCGGAGGATGGAAGTCACCGGCGACAGCATGACCAGTCCAACACCAAGGAGCAGCCCCTCTACCTGTGTTTCCAGGCTTTGGGTCATATGCTTTAAATGAAAGTCACCGTGAGTTTCCTCTTCCTCGATTAGTTTTTTCCCTACTCTTTCTCCTTTTTCCCTCCTCCCAGGTGTCTTGAGGGCAGTTAAATTTACCATTAAATGTGTAGATTGCAGAATATCAAGAGGCTCGCCGCAGGGCGGGCAGAGTGGTCATCACTCAGAATCCCTGAGCTCGGGAAGAACACGTGTTGTGTTGGCCCTGGCGGCTGTGCCCTGAATGATCTCAGGAAGAGGGGAATGCACATCCGGCAGGTGGCCGAGTAACATTAGGAGGGGCATGTAGGGAACCAAATACATGGGAGAAAGGTGTCCACACATGCTGGGTGGCCAGCCGAGGGGTGGCCCATGGGAGCCGTTAGTTTTTCCGCCCCGCTTCCCTTCGCCCCTGCTGGGTCACAGCTGCAGGCAAGTGACCCAAGGTGGTCCATAGCAACCCGTCTTCCTGGATTCCGAGCTCAGTGAAGATGCTGGCGGAGGGATGTGGTTGGAGTCGATGCCCTGAAGGCGGCCTCCCAGGAGGAAAGGCCATGCTGGGGCAGGCAGTTGGGATCCTCACAGCACCTTGGACCTGCCCCTCTCAGGCCTGCTTTCCAGTACTTCCTTCCCTCCCACGAGCAGCCCAGCATCCTTTGCATTACCCCAATTTTTCACACAATTGGTCAGGATCTGCCTGTCCTGTTTGGGACGCCAGAACTGTGTCAGTTGGCTTCCAACAGGGAAATCGAGGAGGAAACGCTTGTTCCCAGTCAGACCACACGTGTTGGCAGCCATGAATCAGAAAGCAGGGGTCTTCCCTCCCACACAGCGCGGGACTCTTCCCTCTGCCACCTCCACGAGGAGACATGACACTGCAGGCAGGGCAGGAGGCTGTGTGGGGACCTGCCGGGCACCCTGCCCCCATCCCTCAGCTTGTAGCCTGGGGTGGCATCGTTAACGGGCTCTCCAGGGGTACACGGGCGGCACTTACCTTCCAAGTGTGATGGCCAGGGGCCCAGCAAGCAATGCTCCAAGGAGGCCCCCCAGCGGGTACAGAGACACGATGAGGGACCACACCAGCAGGACCAGGTGGTCAGGCAGTGGCCGGCCGGTGCGCATCTGCCACGTCTCATTGGTGAATTCCTGAATGTACTGGGGACAGAGAGGCCAGTCACCCCTGGGTTAGGGGTCCCCATGAAAGGCCTTCTCCCCCCAGGCCCTGCCTCTGCGCAGCAGGCAGTCTCCTGAGCAACCCTACTCCCCATGGTGGGACTGAACTCGCCCGAGCACCTGGCACATGAAAGCACCATGCCCGTGTCTTTCAAACACAGTGTCTCCTGGAGCTTAGCACTGGTCAGTCTCTATTTGCCCCTCTGAGTCCACTCTCAGCCCCGTCCCCTTGCTTTTGGCCTGGGCCACATCAGAGGAGGCAGGAGGGCTGTGTGTCCCCAGGGCTCCCTTCCTGGGAGGTTGCCTCAGGCCATCTACAAAGCCTGACCAAACGTCACTGCTCCACTCAAAGAGGTGAAGACCACATGGCCTTACCCATCTGGTTTCAATGACTGCTCCTTCCATGTGTCCCTTGGGGGGTAGAGGTGGCACACTGAATCTGCATGACCGCACTCCCACTGGCCTGTGTGTCCTCGACATCCCACATGTCCTTTGAAAATCGTCCTTTGTGGTATCTAAACCAAGTGACTTTTCTGGAGTGTGCAGCATGTTTCCTGGGTACCCCAATGGTGACAAGCCCTGGGAAGTGTTCTGTTAGATACACGTTCTCTGTTCATTGTTAAGACTGGGAATCAGGCCCACAACTTGCCCTCAGCCACAGGTCAGGGCTGGTTGCAGCCACATGGTCTGGACACCCAGAGCCCCATCCCCCAGAGCTGCTGCTCCAGGTCAGTGAACAGAGGCTACGTGGTTAGGGATGGCTGCACTCAGGAAGACCCAGATACCCTCCCCTTGGTCAGAGATGAATGTCAGTGTCAGCCCTCTCCTGCCCGGGCCAGCCCTCTCCTTCCCAGGCCAACTCCGGGTATTGGCTGTTAGCCTGGTACCCGCCAGGTCCCTCTGGGGGAAGGACCTGTCCGGGGAGCTGGGACCAGAGCCAGCCTCCCCTGACCCTGGCTGCAAATCCTCAAGGGTGACCATTCAAGGGGTTAAAGAGAGCCTGTGAGGCCAAGAAAGTCCCATTTTTAGGGGCTCGTGGTGGTCCAGGGGATTCCGCTGCTGACAGATCCCTCTCAGTTTGCACCATCAGTTTGCACTGAGGTGGACACTCACACTCTTACTGAATAAACAAATGAACAAATGCAGCGAGCCCAGACCTCCCTTTCTAAACCTTCCATTTCATCCTTTCTTCAAGGGACCGGGCTGCTATAGTTGTTTCTGCCCAGGATGTGCACCCATCCCCGGCTTCCACCATGTGCTAACATACCTCCCTTGGAGGGAGGTTCTTTCTCACTGTCAATCACAGCCCCTATGCAGTTGGTCACCTGACCCAGACCTGGCCAATAGGAGTGCTTCACTTTCCTGACCACGTGATTGGCCAAATGGGCATGTGATCCAAACGAGCCAATCAGAGCCTTCCCCAGCCTTTGTGCTGGAACTACCAGGGAGGACTTTTGTCTGGGGCTTCCCAGTCTAGGACAGTCTGAGTCTGATGACAGCTGCTATTCTGTCCTGGGAGAAGGATGAGGCCCCACAGGATCAGGTGAGCCCCATTTCTGTCCTGGGGCCTGGTTCCTGCAGCCCCACTTCCTTCCCAGCTGTGTGACAGGACACTTGCCCCTTCTCACTTAGGTGAGTTAGAGGTGGCTTCCATCACTGGGGCTGAGAGAGCCATCCTTCCCACAGGGACTCACTGAACATCGGCACAGGCTAGGCCAGCATCAGGTGCTGGGGAGGGAGTGGGGACTCCAGCTGGGGGTTGCGGAAGAAAGGCTTCAGGAAGGTGATGGCCCCTTGAGGGGCTCCTGCAGGTGGCGCAGAGAGGGCTTCCCAGCAGAAGAAGCCTTCAAGAAAGGGCTGGACGTATTTGAGGAACTGCATTTAACCTGCTTTGGTAGCAAAGTTGGGGGAATGAAGGTGGGAGATAGGTGGACAGGTTCTGATCCCAGGAGGCCTTGGACTTCAGGTAGATGAGTCTGTCCTAGTCCTTTAGGCACTGGGGAACCACAGAATGTTTCTGGGCAGGGGAATGACTTGATCAAACTTGAGAAGATCTGGAAGGGGAGAAGCTGAAGGCAGGGTGGCCAGTGAGGAGGCTGAGCCAGAGATCCAGGCAGGAGAGATGGGGTCTGAACTGGGATCATGGAAGAGATGAGAGGAGAAATGGCTAGAAGGCAGAAGTAGTTAGGAAGGACTTGGTATCAGAGAGAGGGAGGGCAGAATCAGGGTGGACCCCCAGTCACTGGGAGATGGTGAAGTCATCTGCTGACATCAGGGACCCAGGAGGACGTGTGAGTTTCAGGGGAGGTTGCAGAGTTGGGTTTGAACCCACAGGACATGTGGGACATCCCAGTAGAGGTGGATGCATGGGAGAAAGCGCCACCAAGTGGATGCTGGCCTGAAGAGCAGCTCTTGGCCCTCACTCAGCACCCACTGGGATGGTGATGGTGGGCACGGAGGGTACATACCAAGGTCGGGGCATTGATGATGGAGAGGTTGTAGCCAAACTGGAAAGTCCCACCAATGCCAGCTGCACAGATGGTTAAGAGTAGGACCCAGCCCTGAAACTGAGAAGAGAGGAGAGGACACAGAGTGACCAACGACAGCCTCCACCTCCCTCCCGGGGTTGGAACTAACCAATCACAGCATTTCAATCTCTCTGAACCAGGCAGTGATGTCTCCACTTTGCAGATGAAGAAACCGAGGCAGAGGGGAGAGGAGTTGCCTGGATCACACGGCTGGCAGGTAGCAGAGGCACCCCAGCCTTCTGCTCTGAGTCCAGGATCCCGCTGCCCCCTCACCCCGACCCCACCCCTGGCAGCATTTTCCGGAGATGGGCAGCTGTTCCCGGCCCTCCTTGACGGGCTGGCCCCAGGCATGCTTGCTACGGCTTGGGGGACAATGCTCCAAGCTGGAGCCCCAGGGGATTGAAGCTGTGCCTTTAGCAGGACAGGAGCCCCTGAGCCCCAATAACTCGCTTCAGCGAAACTGTCTCCAACAGAGTGGCTGGGCCTTCAGTTCTGCCCTCCTAGCTTGTTCTGCAGCGAGGCTGAGATGGGGCCACACAGAGCTACACATGTGGGGACTTGGGGGCATATGGAGGAGCAGAGAGCAGCCTGGCTCCCGGGCTTTGTCTTTTTGGAATCACTTCCTCACTGGCCCCGGGGATGATAATGTCCCACCAGGCTGGGGGACAGCCAAGGTATGCATGCACCACACACACCTGGTACAAACATGGGCAGCTTTTCATCCCCCTGTGACACCCTTAGAGCTGGAGGGAGAACACCCTAAGGCACACTGCCATGAGGACTCAGCACCCCAATACCCCGTCATTAGGTTGGTATTTTTTTTTTAGGGATTCACAATCTTATTTCTGGGGAAGGTATAGCTCAAGTGGTAGAACACATCCTTAGCATGCGTGAGGTCCTGGGTTCAGTCCCCAGTACCTCCACTAAAATAAACAGAAAACAAACTAATGGTTCACAATCTTATTTCTATTTTTTCTCTTATACTTTTCTCTGAAAATTCAGTATGTGCTGAAAGCTGAAAGCTCTCCGCTCTCCCAAAGAGCAGTTCCCAGCAATGAACAGCTTCCCTCAGATATTCTCCTAGATAGTCGCCAAGTGGTTAACCTTACAAAAATAAAATTGCTGATCTTTCCCCAGTAAACCGATACCACCATTTTCTTCTTCTGGCAAAGGGTCCCCCAAAGATGAAGTCCTGGTTCATGTTTATATTTTTTAAAAAAATACTTAAAATACACATTTCATGGCACAAGGATGTTTGGCTAAGGCCTTTCTGAAGAATTTCCAGGACCTCAGAGCTACTTACTCATCCAGCAAATACTAAGTGCCTGTCCCAGCCAGGAACTGAGCTGGGGGGTAGACACAGCTGGAAAAGACAGATCTGCTTCCAGAACATAGTGAGAAACTGGACTGGGAGTCGGGGTGGGCAGGGGGGTGGAGGAAGAGGCTCTGAGGGCAGGATCCTGCCAAAGGTCTGTAGGCTGGTCCATGACTGGCACCCTGGCTGCTCACAGTCCCTACAAGGTCTAAGTACCTTCCTTCCAAGCCTGAAGCCATATGGGGAAGGTAGGTCAGAATCCAGAAGTCCTGTCTCACTGGAGTCACGTGGACACTCCATGCGGGCTGTGTGGAGGGCAGAGTTCCACTGAGATAGCAGATCTACAGGAAGCCACAAGTCATGCAGTGCCTGATGTGAACTGAGCCCATGTGGCCAAGGTGCTGGCAGGTCTCCAGGACAGCATAAATCACCTACTTCCGTGAGATTGAGGTTGTCTCCTCCTGTGACTGGTCATGGTGACTGGTTCAGACATGAGCTGTCCTAGTGATTCAACCTACCTACTATGGGCAATAAACCTACAGTTCTAGGTGCTGGGGATATAGCGATGAACAAAAGATGAAATCCGTGACGTCATGGGACGTCCCTTCCAGTGGGGGAAGATAGGCAACAGCGAAATGAACAAGGAAGATATATGTCGGGGGAGGGGGGCGCAACAGAGACAAAGCAGGGAGAGGTGAGAGGGAGAGTCTGTAGAGGGTGGTCAGGGAATAAGCACTGAGAAGGGGCCATCGCACGAAGACTTGAAGGAGGTGAGGGAATGCGTCATGCAGGCATCTGAAGGAAATCTGTGCAGGCTGGCGGGAGAACCCAGAGATAGGGAGATGGGCGGGTCTGGGCGAGCTCTTCCGGCTACCCCACATCCTAGGTGACGCTGGACGTCAGGGAGCCTGGAGAAGGCGATGAAAGTTGGGGAGAGGAGTGAAGGTGGGGAACAGACCCAGGACAGGATGAGGCGGGGAGGACCGCAGCGCCCAAGGGCTGCTGCCTCTGAGGGCGTGCCCAGACAGCACGAGGACCTGAGGGCCCAGGCATCACGAGGGACGCTAGCCTGGGACGCGGCCGTTCCGCCAGTCCTGCACGCTGATACCCCACGCAACCTTGCACTCGCCCCAGCCCATCCCTGAGCGTGAACTTCACCCTGCTCAAGCTCGTCTGGGCCCGGCACCTAGCTCCACTGTGCAAACAAGCACCAGATACTTTCGTACACTGGACGCTTTCGTTGAGCCCTCCAGAGTGCACTCAAGCCCGCAATCCCTCATCTGAGAAGCCGGGGCCGGCGGAATTCAGACCTTCGCCAAACGCGGATCGGAGGGTAAGGGGAGGCGCATGCGCGGCGGGGCGATAGCGAGGCGTAAACCCATCTCGAGGCGGAGGCGGACGCACGCGCAGTGGGTGTTGAGGGAGGTTCGGCGAGATGAAGGTTCGCGCACGGCGCGTGGTGCCCAGAGCGTGCGGCCGAGACGCCTGCGCAGGGTGGGGTCCCGCGAGCCCGTCACCTGGGTCCGAGGCTGTAACTGCGGTTCCTGTTCATCCTCCATCCCTTCCTATCCTCAGCTCTGAAGGTGAAAGGCCACTGACTCCTTACTCGGCCGAGCCTGGGGCCTATTTCTGCAGACCGGAAGGGAGTTCTGGCCCCAGGTCACCCCGGCCATCCCCCAGCATCCACCCCCGCAGGTCTCGGCCGGTAACTCTAAACACCGCGCTCCAGGCTCGCCTGAAATCCCGGCCCTGGCCCCTCGTCCCCACGTCCCCTCCCCCGCTGCCGCCTCCAGAGTGACTCCCTGCTGGTCCCTCCTGCGCCCCGCCCCTCGAGCCCCCTACCAGCCCTTCGGCCCGGCCTCCTCTCCCACTCATCTGGCGCCCTTGCCCGCCACCAGGGCCAAGGAGGCCCCTGTCGCCGGGAGGACCCCGTCCCCAAGCACTCTGAGGGCAGAGCCCTTGATTCTGCACAGACATCCCCACTCTCCTCCAGTACAGGTGTCCCCATCCTTTCCCCGGAGGAGGAACAGTATTAAGAGAGACAAAAGGCAGACCCACCAGTCCCTGGAGTGCTCTCATTTGTCCGTCCTGGCAGAGCCCGTGACTTGGAAAGCAGACAGGAGAACCTGTCTCGGATTGCAGCCGTGGAATCCGTTGCGCGAGAGGGCGGCCCGGCCTATGTGCCAATATTAATCCGGCCCAGTGGCCCCTGTAAGGTAAGGAACCACAGGGCCCAGTGGGCCAGATTAATCTTTTATTTCTCAGGGCTTCCCAGGTCCTGCGTGGAATCCAGGAGTTGGACTAAGGCCAGATGGAAACCAGACTTGCCAAAGATGTTATTTGTGGTCATAGAAACAGATCTGACAGTGACCCTAGGAAGTCACCTGAGCAAAGACTATGATAGGAGTACACCAGAATGGATACTGCAGTGCCTCTATTGCTCCTGCTTAGTTTTTGCTTTATTTTTGCTGATCTGAACTTTTCAAAGTTTCTTCAAAACACCATGCACTTTTAAGGGAAAATGCAATAAAATATTAGCAGTTGCTAACTGCATGCTTTTCTGCATCTACTGAGATGATGTGATAATACCCGGTTCCCCACCCCACCTTGGTTCTCCCTGAAATGCCGCCTGAACTCTTCGTCTGCCCCCCAGTGTGTGGGCTCCCCGGCCATTAATTATTATCCTGAAACAAGGAAGCTTGAGGTTTCTCCTTGGCAAGCATTAGCTGGGAGCTTAACCTTGAGTATGTGAAAGTTAAGGTCGTGAGGGTTTGTAGCTGCCAAGGGGCTGATGGCTAATCCTCTCAACAAACCACACGTGGGTGGCTTCAGGCTCCTTCGCAGAGGAGTCCCTGAGACTCCACAAGGGGTGGGGGCCTACAGCTCTGGTGGGAGTCTGGCCAGGCTGTCAGATCTCTGAGTCCGGTACAGACCCTGCGGGATGGGGCGGCTTGACCAGTTAGCTCCGCTGGAGTCGAGGTAGCGTGAAAAGAACGCCCTTGACTCCGCCTCCCGGATGGGGCTTCCCGCGTGGATTCACACTCACTCGGTTTTCCCGGTGAGAAGGTGGAGGTGAGGGCAGGGGAGGTGGGGTGCCGGCCCCATGCCCACTAGCTCTCAAGACCTCCCAGCTGGTGGCCAAAGTGGGCGTGACGCCCCTCCATCACTGTGGGAGCCACGCCCCGAGCTCGGTCCTACACGCTGGGGGCTCTCTGTAGACCGGGAAACTGAGGCCCAGAAAGGGCGGGGAGCGGAAGGTGGGGGACCCACCCCTGGTACTCAGCAGGAGGTAGGGAGCAGCGTGGCTCGCACCTAAAGGGATAGAGCAAAGCTGGCTGGAGGGCTCCACCGTGTCCACGCCCCACCGAGCCGCCGTTGCTCCTAGGCGCAAAGAAGCGGCTGGGCCCCCTGGCCGACCCAGGTCTGCCCCAGAAGATGCCTCTGCCGTTACCCGGGCCCAGGGATGCCGCCCTCCAGGGATTCGGCCTCCAGACCCACGGGGGATCCATTCAGGCCGCCCCCGCCAGTTTCCCTTTATCCGCCCGCGCCGCCGAGACCAGCTGCGGCCGCGAGGGGGCGACAAAGCCCGGGCCTGCGGGAGTTGGGGCCGCGGTCGCTGGACCTCCCAGGGCTGCGCGGTGGCAGGGAAACAGAGGCCCACGTCAGGGCCCCCGCCAGGTGCCAGGCACTCCTGGGCGCCGAGTCATGGCTGAGCCCAGGCATCCCCTGTTCCACGCATCCCAAGTAATTTTGCTTCCTTTATCCTGCGCACCCAGCCTGTGCGCGGCCAGTTACGCCATGGCTTTGGGCGGGAGCTGGGAGGCCTGGCATCCAGCCCCTTGCCTCTGCGTCGCTTTGTGCCTCCCCTCTCTGTTCCATGACGGGTGGGACAGAGGTCTGGGCAGTTGCCTAAACCCTGGAGCCAGGGCTCTCCAACAGGGCTCAGCAGGCCTCCATCACTATGAGTGGTGGGTGGGACCCCACCACAGATGATAGAGATACGTGCCTGCCCCCATCAGAGGGCTAAGCTGCTCTGGCCCCACTGCCTCCTCTCTGAGCTCTCAGCTGTCTGTCTGTCTCCCTCGTCTGTCAGCTGTGGTTTTCAGGAAGGACTGTGGGGTTGGGGGCAGCCCCCTCCTCCTTGAGGCCTTCCCTGTTCTTCCCACTTGGACTGGCATCTCTACCCAATGCTGGGAGCCTCCAGAGGGGGCACTGGGTGGAGCTCAGGATGCCAGCTAACCTTGGGCACCAGGCTGCCAGGGTGGGCACTGAGTTACCACCAAGCACAGCAGGTCAGCCACAGGACTGGCTGCAGCTAATGCCAGTGGGGCCCCTGCAGTTCCAACAATTACTTTCCATCTCCCAGCCTCCGTCTGCTCACCTGTAGAATGGGGACATCATAACAACTGTCCCTGCACTAGACATCCTGTGGACAGGAACCCAGCCCTCTCTTGATCTCCAGACAGATCTTGCTCATGGGGGCTGAACCTTGGGGTGCTGCAGCCCAGCTGGACAGTCCCAGCCTGGGCAGGGGTATGGAGGGCAAGGCCCAGGAGCAGCTCCTGCAGGCTCTGCACCAAATCTTCCTTCGCCTCCCTTCTCAGAGCTGGCTCCCACCCCAGTTCTGGGTCATTTCCAACATAATGATTCAAAAGAAAGAAAAAATCCCAAGGAACAACCAGCTAAACTGCCCCTCCTGGCCACCCTTTGATATTTGAGGACTGAACAGTTGGGCTGATTGCAGATAGGGGCTTTGAATCCATCTTAATTAGAAGGAAAGAATGTCCTCGTGGTTGGCTGTTCTAAAAATACAGCTGTGCCCACATCTGGAGGGGAAGGGTGGGAGGCAGGGGGTGGGGATGGCGGTTAGACCAGACTCTGAAGCTCTGACGCCTGCATTTTTTGGTCTGGGGGGAGCCCCCTGCCAGCAGGGCCCATGGAGTGGGGAAGGGGAGCATCAGAGTGGCTGGTCCCCTGGGACTGGGCCACCTAGTGCAGGTTTGGGGTGGAGCTGAACAGGCAGCTCACCTCTTCCCCACACCCCAGCCCCAGTTTCCCCAGCAGTGCAGAGCGCCTGGGTAACGCACGCTGGTTCTTTCACCAGCCTCTGCCTGACCTGGGCACAGGGGGCCATTTAACTGCAAGCTTGTGACCAGGGAGAGGATTTTTTTCTAAATTTGATATTGAGGGCTATTTGTTAGTTTTTGTGAACTTGTCACTTGTTTTGTTGGTGTCCTCATTCTAAGCAGAGATTCAGTTTCCTACCTAATCTTGCATTTGCAACTGCGTTTGTTTTCTTTAAAGAGGCACCAATACCTCATGCAAGTGAAGGCCATCTGAGGCTGGGAGACCGGCTAGAGCAAAATGTGGGGGCAGGGCTTGTGGTGGTATCTCCAGGGCAACAAGGGTTCCTGTGGCTGGATGAGCACCTGGCCTGGGGCTCACCCTCCCGGATGTGTGTGAGCAGGGCCTGGGCTGCTTGGCAGAGGTGTCAGTGGTGCAGGCCAGGTGGGGCATGGGTAAACCCTGGGCCTTTCCGAGCCTGTCTGTCTGCCTACTTGGGGTGCTGAGTCACTACTTCTAAGCAAGGGTTCCAGGTCCCCACCAGGCCACAGACCAGAGCTGCCTGCTGATCTGGCCAGCAGGTGACAAGTAGGAAGACCATAAGACAGTGTGCCTCAGGACCCACCCCGACCCAGGACCACACAGACCAGATCCCACGTGCATCCCCTGGGCATTCAGACCCGCGTGGGGCCGCGTAGTCTCCTCACTGTGTCTCCAGGCTCCTGTCTCCGTGAGCTTGTGTCCCCGGCCCTGCCATTTGGCTGACTTTGTCAAGCAGATAATCTTCCAAACACAGCCGCACAGCCACACTGAGCCCAAAAATAGCTGAGGCAGAGGAGGGGGAGTCCCCGCCAGCTGCTCTGAGGCCCTGGGCGCCAGCTGGAGGTGGCTTTGACATGCGGGGTAGTGGCCACAGGCAGGAAGTGGGATTTGAGGAGCATTTGCTGAGGGTAGGTGGTGACAGCCAGGCGTTGAAGGTCAGGCTGGCCTGGTAGCTGGGGCTGGGGCTGGAGAGGAACCATCTCATCCAGCCACAGAGGGTCAGAGACTGAGAAACCAAGGTCCAAGCGGAGAGCCCTGTGCCCCAGCTGCTCAGCAGGAGAGCATTCAAGGGGCAGAGTCGCATGTCAGAGACATCCCAGGAGCCCAGAGGCAGCAGAGAGGTTTTGCCTCCAAACCACAGCCGGAGAAGGGCCACAACGTGCATGTACGTGTATGTACGACGAGGAGCTGGGAGGGCTTGGCTGGGGAGGCCAGGAGGACTTCCTGGAGGTGGTTCTGTCCCCACCGCACCCCAAACTCCACCTGTCCCAAACCAGTGGTGGTCTCCATCCCAAACCTGGGCTTCTCCCACATCTCACCCCTCTGCCAAACGCTAGGGGCTGTGCCTTCCACATCCTTGGTCCTTTCACTCCCTTGCTGTCATGTGCCTGCTGCCATCCTCCACTCTGACCACTGCTTCTATTCCTGGCCCCTCTTCCTCCAAAGAGCTGCCATCTGATCCTAACCTTCCCACCAGGCTGAAAACTCCCGTGGTGCTCCACTGCCCTCGGGACAGAGACCACAGCCTGTAGGGCCCTGCTCAGCCAGCATCACATGGCACATGAGTCCTCCCCTTGCCGCTGTCCCTCCATGCTACCTCAGGACCTTTGCATGAGCTGTTCTCCTGCAGGGCCTGGCTTATGCCTACTCATCCTCCCCACTGACTGCCTCCTCCCTCTCCATCCCACCCAGAGACCTGCAAATTCCTGGAAAGTTGATTCTGATACCAGGCTCAGAGGGCCAGGCCGAGGTCGCTCCCTCCACTGCCGTGGGGTTGGCCCAACGCAGCACACCTGGACAGTTTGTTGTGTGTTCCAGTCATGAGCAGCTGCTGCCCAGTGGGTTCCGGATTCAGTGCTAAAAATACCCAGGACCCAGACAGGAAGGGCCGCTGGGGACACAGCTGCTCCTGGGAAGTGCTGGCTGGAGCTGCAGCGAGGCCCACCCACCACGGCTCGGGGATCCATGTGCCGGGAGGGGTTGGGCACTGAGCTCACAGCCTCTGAGAATAGGCCCTGTGAGGGGTACCACATGTGGGTCAAAGGAAAACCAGTGCCTCCTGCAGTCACCTTGTTTCTGCTTCTTCCCACTTGTTACCACAGACATGTGCTGCCTTTGGAATAAAATACATTTAAACACTGAGAGTGTGGGGTCCTGCCAGGAGGTAGATGAGCTCTGGTCCCTTCAGGAAGGCCTTCTTGGAGCAGGGAGCATCTCCACCACCCTCCCTCCCTCTCCTTTGAAAAGAACATCTCGGCTAGGAGGGAGGGAAATAAGTGAATGAAGGAGTCAGAGATGCATGCAGTCCTGGAAGAGAGATGCTGAGGCCTGAATAAGGGGTGGCCGTGGTGGAGGTCTGTTAGAGGGGAGGGAAGGACTGGAGAGTTCTGTGGGGCTGGGGAGAGGCAGGGCAGGGATGGCTTCAGGTTTCAGGGTTGTCACCGGTGGCTCATGAGTGTCTCTCCTGGAGTGTGAGGCCTGTGAGAAGGATGGCCGGCTGAGGGCACGCAGGAGTGCCATCCTGCCTGTAGGCACTGGGAGAGACTGGACAGGGGATTCAGGGGTTCTCTGGGTGTCCCCAGACCTGAGGACTCCTGGGTTCATTGCTCTGCAGCAGACAGGGTCCCGAGGCAGTGAGGTGGATTGGAGGGCAGGCCCATCGTCACCTGGTCTGGGGACCATGGGCCCTTCTCCTGCCGTAGTCCTTAAGAGAGCCCGAGAGAGAGAAGGCAGCCCAGCCAGGAGGTCTAAATAGCCATCACCAACCAGCACACTCGCCTGCCTGTGTCACCTAGGCCCCTGGGGACACGTGGAGCCCAGGGCTTCTCTCCATATGTAAGTGTCTGGAGGTGGCTGGGGTCGAGCAGTGGACCTGGTGCCTCCAGAGTGGCCTGTCCTGGGCCTGACACTGAACAGGAAAGCCAGAACTGGTGATGGAGGTCAGCCTCTGGCCCTGCAATGTCTCCTGCTCGGCCTCAGCCCCGACCTGAGGATACCCCAGGGCTCTGAGAAGGGAGTTCAGCAGGAGAACTCAGCCCTGCTCCCTGGATGCCGCGCTCAGCTAGCTGCCCCCACCCTGGGCTCCAGCCTCCGAGGAATGTGCTTCTCTTCCTGAAAACCAGGCTCCTGCCTTATCAGCCCCATCAGCCCCATGGAAGGGGAGAGACAGACCCCCCCAGCACAATGACAGCCCCTCCCATTGGCCCCAGCTTGACCCTGAGCAGAGGGCCAGGCAGCTAGCGCCAGCTGCTAAGGGCCTGGGGGCAGGAAGGCCTCCCCTTCCCCACCAGACAAGAAATCTGACCCCCCTGGCTGGCTCCTTCCAGCCTGGCAAGGGCCGGCACCCACCGTGGTGTCTGAGGCTCTGGGTCTCCGCCCAGTTGGCTGCCATGCTGCCTCCTGGGTGGGATCCACTCTGCTGGGCTCACCTCACCTCAGACGTGACCTCAGCCTGCTTCACTGGAGAACAGAGGCTGTCCGAGGGGCTTCTCAGCCTGCTCCCACCACCCAGCCTCGCAGCACCTTGGTCCAGCTCCTGCTGTAGCAGGCTGACCTCTCTTCACTCCTGAAACAGGCACATATCCCTCTCAGCGCTCCCAGCCCCTCCCTCCCCTCCCTCTCCCCCCGAGTGGGGCTCCTTGAGCCACTCCCCAGGGGAACCCCCTAGTCCTCGTGGGATCCACCTGAGGTAACTTTCTCAGCCAGTTCTCCCCACTCCAGTCTCCTCTGGGGGCTCAGGGCCCTGTCTAGGGCTTCCTTCATCAGCTACACTCACATCCAAGGTTGAGTTCCCATTTGGTAAAGGCAGGTCCATCTGGGCACCTTCCTCTCTTTCATGCCTGCCATTATCCAGGGACCTTTGGTGTGGCTGCACCTCTCAGTCTCTTCCAAGGCCGTGTCTCCCCAGGCTTCTCACTGCCTTGCTCCTGAAGCCCTTTCCTGGCTCTGCTGCAGGCCCGCCACCCCCGGCTGCCTAGGCCTGGCCTTGCCCCTTCTCCATCCAACCTTGCCCCTTGGGCATCTTATGCAGGGCCAAACCTGCAAATGTCATTGGTCTGCTGAGGACTGATACCTACACTGGGACCGTCTGCCTGGCCTTTCCTCCAAAACCACACTTGGATTTTTCCAGGCGGATGTCATACAGATACCCCAAACTCAGTGAGGTCAGAACAGGACTCTCCCTCTGCCTGCCTTCCCCTCAAGCATTCTTCAGCTCAGTAGAGGACACCGCCTTTCAATCACCCTGTGGCTCAGGCCTGAAAGTCACCCTTGGCTCTTCTCTCAGGGCTCTGCCTAGTTGGCTGGCAAACCCATATCCTGTTCCTCCTGGCCCTCCAGGCTCCACCTTGCCCACCCACATCCCTTGCATCCTCCCCCTGCTCACTGATTCCTCTGGAAGTCTACTGTCCTCACAGCAGCTGCAGGGATCTTTATAAAGTGACAGTCGAGCATCACTTCTTCACAGAGGCTTCCCAGATCACCCCATCTAGCATGGGGCCGCTACCCAACCCCCCAGCCTCCACTTGGCTGCTACCTCTGTCAGTGCACTGTTCTGCAAACTCACTCTCATTTTAACACAAACCCATGGCTCCTTTGGCTCCACCAGGAAGGATAGCATCTTTTGTTGGCTACTGTGTTTGCAGCATCCAGACCGGTGCCTAGCCCACAGTGGGTACTCAGTAAATGATTGACTTTTCATTAAAATGACTAAATGGAGTTTCTCTTTTCCACCAAAATAACAAGGCCTTTTCCATCCCGTCCACTTGCGCCAGTCGGCCTTGGCACCCTCGTCCCACCGGGGCTATTAAGTCCCAGTCTGGCCCCTCCTCTGGCGGCCATCGTGGGGCTCCCCCGGGGGCCGGTAGGTTCAGCGGGGCCTGTTTACGCTCGGGGATTTGGACAGGCAACCGAGCTCCTCCTTTGCTGTAGGTTAGGTGGCACTGCCTCTTGGTCTCGGAGGGAAGGACAGCCCGGGCCGCCAGGCAGCCCAGGTGAGCCAACAGAGCAGTGCGGCCAAACCCCGGTTCCGCCCCGCCCGCAGGGCCCCGCCCATTCAGTCTCCCGGTGCCTCGATCCGGTTTTCTCCTCTAACCAGTAATCCCAGCCCCGCCCCTGTGTTTGCCCCGTGGGTCCTCGCTATTGGTCCTCCCCTGGCTCGCCGCGAAGCGTCTAGTTCCTCATTTGGCCATATGTTCTCCCGCGTGGCTTCCGCGGGCACCACAACAAACGCCACGTGCTCGACCATGGGGCCTGCTCATTGGCCCCGAGTCTCGACCCGCCCACGCCCCCGGCTCCCTGCTTCCTCCTCCTATTGGCTATCTGCCCCAAGACCCCGCCCTCAAGCCCTGGCGCGCTGCACCTCCGACGCGGATTAGCTGAAGGCGGGAAGGCGGGGCTTAGAGGCGGGTTAAAGAGAGGGCGGGCTATCTGGACACGCGTGCTTCACAAGGTTCAATGGCTTGGCGGGGGCTGGCGACCGAGTTCCTGCAGGTGCCAGCGGTGACGCGGACCTACACCGCGGCCTGCGTCCTCACCACCGCCGCCGTGGTGAGTGGACCCGACGGGTGGGGCGTCGCCAGGATTACAGCCCCGGGGGTTGCAGTGGTCTTGGTTGGACCCGCCCCCCGGGGGCCAGCCCCTGACGCGCCCCTGGTTCCGCAGCAGCTGGAGCTCCTCAGCCCCTTCCAACTCTACTTCAACCCGCACCTCGTGTTCCGGAAGTTCCAGGTGAGGCCACCCTACCCCTTGCACCTGCCTGCCCCGCCCTCCCTGCCCGCCCCGCGCATGACCGCCCTCCCCTCGCAGGTTTGGAGGCTCGTTACCAACTTCCTGTTCTTCGGGCCCCTGGGATTCAGCTTCTTCTTCAACTTGCTCTTCGTGTATCCTGTGCGGGCCAGGCCGGGGTGGGGAGGCGGCGGGGAGCCGGGAAACTGAGGCCCCGCCCGGTGGCACTTCCTATACAGACGCTGCAGGTTCCGCTACTGCCGCATGCTGGAGGAGGGCTCCTTCCGCGGCCGCACGGCCGACTTCGTCTTCATGTTTCTCTTCGGGGGCGTCCTTATGACCGTATCCTTCTCGGTCTCTGGAACCTCTGGGCCCGGCCGGTGCTGGCTCTGGGGCCCCTCCTTGAGCGCCGGCCCGAGACGGAGTCCTTCCCTCCAGCTTAGGATGTACTGAGAGTGCAGCGCGTGCTCAGCTCTAGATGCCAGGGATAGATCTCCAGTGCTGTACACAACACACCGCAGGGTGGTGCACAGAAGAGAGGGCGACAGGCCTGGGGGCCGAGCCCAGAGAGCCAGTAGCCAGGAGGAGCTGGGGTAGGGACGGGCAGTGGCGCGGGGCTGGGGTGAGGTGGAGAGGCAGGGCAGATCAGGTGGTGCCTGGAGGCCACAATGTGGCCTTGGACTGGGAAGGGCACACTCGGGCCATAGGGGAAGGGAAACCAGCAGGAGGGTTCCGGGGTTTAGAAGTCCCAGGGGCCCTGGGCAGGGCCTGAGGCCTTGACTCTGGCCCAGCTGCTGGGGCTCCTGGGCAGCCTCTTCTTCCTGGGCCAGGCCCTCACGGCCATGCTGGTGTACGTGTGGAGCCGCCGCAGCCCCCGGGTGAGGGTCAACTTCTTCGGCCTCCTCACCTTCCAGGCACCATTCCTGCCTTGGGCGCTCATTGGCTTCTCAATGCTGCTGGGCAACTCCATCCTTGTGGACCTGCTGGGTGAGCCTGCTGTCCACCCTGCCCTCCTCTGGCAGGCTGTCTGGGATCTGAGGGCCTGCTCAGCCAGAGCCCTCCCTCCACTGGCACTGGACCTCTCATCTGTGTCCCCACCCCGTCTCCCCACCCTCATGGCTCCTGTTCTTCCAGCCCCTGGAACTTCCAGCTGGCCTGTACTGTAGGTTTCACTTCTTGAGGCCTGACCTGCTGATGCTTCTGTAGGTCCTGACCTAGGTGGGGACAGGTGGGTCAGGGTTCCTGCTTTGAGGCTCCCACTCCTCCGATTTTTCAGGCCCTCCCCGCCCCTGGTCCTGCCCACTTTCGGGCCAGTCCTGGTCCCACCCTGGGCTGGCCATCTGTGCAGGACATTGGGCACTATGGAGTCCTAGAGCAGGTTCTGGACTGTGGAGGGTGGCCTTGGCAGCTGGTGGCTCTCCGCAGGGATCGCTGTGGGCCACATCTACTACTTCCTGGAGGATGTCTTCCCCAACCAGCCAGGAGGCAAGAGGCTGCTGCTGACCCCCGGCTTCCTGTGAGTGCTGGGATGACGCCCTCCCTGCCTGGCCTCAGGTGGCTCCCCCACCTCATGGGGCACCCTGCTGGCTGCAGCTCAGCTTGGGTCCCTCCCGACAGGAAGCTGCTACTGGACACCCCAGAGGAGGACCCCAATTACCTGCCCCTCCCGGAGGAGCAGCCACAACCCCCGCAGCAGTGACCCCTCCCAGGGCCAGGGCCAGCCCCGGGGACCTATTTTCCCAGCCTTGGGCTGGCCTGCACCCCCTGACCCCAGCTTGCAGCACAGCTACCTGTCATGGAGGCTGGGCCCATACCCAGGTCCCCCCGAATAAATACACTGACCTGCAGCCTCTTTGCCCATAGCACTGGCTCTCCTGCCTCGGCCGGCCACACCCTTCCACACAGGGCAGGTGCTGCTGGCCTCGACCCAGGGCCACCAAGCCTGGCTTGCCCTCTCAGAACAAGTGCAAGGGGCAGGATGAGTGGCCCAAAGGGTCAAGAACCTGCCCAAGGTTGTCCAGCAGAGCTTTGAGCTCACAGGTGGCCGAGCCGGGGTTCTCTTCCCCACCCTGCTGCTGCCTCAGTGGAGCCCTGGGCAATCCCACCCACTCTGGCCACTGCTCCCTGCCAGCCAGCGAGGGGCATCATTGGTGGCGGAGCCAGGACTGGGCTGTCTGGTCATGCCGTCTGCGGGGCTCCTGCCTGTGGTTCCCGCAGGCTGACGCCTCCCTGGGCCCCTCCTGCCCTTCCAGCAGCCCACAGGTGGCCCTCTGCCTCATCTGCCTGCCAAGCAGCTAAAGGACTGGGCCGAGGACCCAGGGGCCAGGTCAAAAGAGGGCCAGACCCTTTCTATGACCCCAAAGCCTTAAGTTCCACCTCAGCAGAATCCTCGGCAAATTCTGCCCCTGCCGGTTTTGGCTGCAGACCCAGAGCCTCATCAGGCCTGCAGCTCACTTTTCTCTGTAAAGTGGGCATCAGATGACCAGTCTGCGAGCTGGTTTATTCCTGGGTCGGCAGCAGCGCGAGGGCTCCTCCAGCGCTGGGTGTCACATTCACAGGTGACACAAATATTCACTGCGGAGTCAGACCTTAACTTCATGGGGAAACCTCTGCAGCAGCAGGTCCACAGCGGGGCAGGCTGGCGGCGTGTGAAGGCCCCACTCCAGGCCGCTCCCAGGCAGGTGGCCAGCCGGCCCAGTGGGGTTGAGGCAGGCAGGGGTCACCACACCCCACCAGCTGTGAGGCTTGGGCTGTCCTGCTTATAGACCAAACACCTCACCTCAGCAGCGGAGCCCACTGGTCTCCAAGGCCAGCTGGGCTTGGACTCTTCCTCTTTGTTCAAGGCCTTCCAGTGGAGCCCAGCTGTCCCCTTGCTGGGGCTCCAGCAAGTTCCACTCCTGGATGGAGGGCAGTGGCTGGAGTACAAACTCCTTGGGAGCTGTCATGTCTCAGGATGTGCTCACGAGAACCCCCAGCCAAGAGGGCCAGGCCCGTATCACCCCACATCCTACAAATGAGAACCCTCAGCACTCTGCTCCTGCCTGACGTGGGCCTTGGGCTGGGCTCTGGGTGCCATGGGGCCCCTGCCATGTCCTGACCCTCAGCCCTGCCAGCACCGAAGGCGGGCCAGCCTGGTGCAGGGTCTTCAGTTAGACAGCAGCTGTGCCCAGTTCACCAGGTGGTGCCTGGCCCAGTGAGGAGGCCCACCCACATGTCGCCCTGGCATGTCCCATGTCCCATGTAGAGAGGGACCTTTCCATGTTACAGAAGAGGATGCAGAGCTGGGAGGAGGGTCAGCCCATCACCCTCTAAGCTGGCGTCAGGCTTGGCTTGCTGCTCCAGGCTCTCTGTCACTCCTCACAGCCGGCTGGGAGGGAGGAACTGGCCCGGCCGTGGCATCAACCGGGGGTGGAGATGGGCCCAGTGTTTCACACATGCGGCTGGGGGCATGGTGAGAGTGGTACACACCTGTTAGACCTGGAAGAGCTGGGCACAGGCCCTCGATCCCTGCACAGAACAGGGCCTCTGCAAGGCCTAGGGAAGCAATGCTCCCAGCTAGCAGCGGCCTGGCCAGCTGCACACAGCAGAGCCCCGGGCCCTTGGGAAAACCTGTGGCTGCTCCAAGAGGTGGGACAAGGCTGTGGGTGACAAGCAGGCAGCCCTGCCCTCTGACAGCAAGGAATTGCCCAGCACGGGTGGGTGGGAAGCTGGCATGGAGGAGGAAGACCTGCTCTGACTCAGGATGTGCAATGGAGGAGGGCAAGGGGCCTGCCCGCCAGCCGTGGCCACATGCCCAGCCACCTGCCTCGTGCCCTCCCCACTTCTTACTTTCATGCCACCACTTCAAGAAATGGAACAGGACCTGTCACCTTTTATTTAAAAAGTGTTGCTCGCCCTGCCTGGGGCTCCTGTACAAAAACAAAACATAACCCAAATGAGGCCTCTTCCTGACCAGAGATGGACGGTGGGGACTGGGGCTCAGCAAACGGAATGTGTACCCGGGGAAAGGCAACCCGGGGGAGGGCGGCCCAGAGGCTCCTGCCCCGTGCTCCTCAGGACAGCCAGGCTGCCCTCCTCCTTGTCCCCTCCTCCAGAAGATGGAGGAGAGTCGGTCCAATCTTCCAGATGCTCCGTGGGAGCCAAACGCCACCAGGTGGTTACCAGGCCGGGGCAGTGTTGGCCAGACGCCTCATCCGCCTGCAGGAGGAGAAAGGTGGTGACCCAAGGCGGCTGCCCTTCACCCAGGGTGCCGTGGGCAGAGACAGGACGTGGCTGTGGGACCCCAGCCCTCCCTCAGCCTGGACCTAGAAGCTGCTCTCTGTCCTGCCCACCCCTCCCAGGGTCCTGACACCTGGGTTGGGCTGTGGTCAGATCCTGACCCCATGGCTGAAACTTGCTCCCCGCAGGGCTAGTTGGGGACTCATCACCCAGGGACCTGCCAGGAGAGGCAGGGGGCACCTTGTGTTCCTGTCCTGGTCTCGGATCTTCTTCTCCATCTCGGCGTCCGTCAGGGTCTCCAGCAGTGGGCACCACTGGTCAGCATCACCTGTGTTCCGGATGGCAATCTCCACCGTGGGCAGGGGGTTCTCACTGTGGAAGATGGGAGGGAGGAGGTGCTGGTTCACAGGGTAGCAGTGGAGGGGGCTCCAGAAACCACTGTCCACCCTGCCCGCCAATGGATGGGACGCTGGAGCCTAGTCTCTGCCCATCTCCTCAGAGCAGCCTCTGACAGGGCAGCAGGGATGCTCCAGTCACCAGAATCTCACAGCAGAGCCACCTGGACCTCCCCTCCCTGGCAACAGTGCTGCCCCCATGACCCCGTGGGCGCCTCTTCAAAGCAGATGGTCAACTTGCTGCCACCACAGCATCTCCAGTTCTGCAGACTGGGGAGGGGTCCATGGAGCGGTGTTATGGGGGTGGCCATTATCACTGGACCCTCTGGCTAAGCGGCCTTAGCGGTGGTGGGGTCAGCCTCCAAGAAGGTTAAGAAGGCTGGGGGATGCCTGGCCGAGCTGCTGCCTCTGGATCCAGCCAGGCAGGGGGGCCTCAGCACATGGCCCAAATCTGGACCTCTCCCACCTGCAGCCGCCACACTGGCCTCCTGGGCCCTCAACTCTCCCCTCCGGCCAGGCCACCTGTCCTGTGCCCAAGGCTCGGCCCCCAGAAGGCCCCTCAGGAATCGGCCCCCTGAAACCCTGCAGAGGCAGCTCTGAGGGAGGGCAGGTGGGGCCCAAGGAGGCATAAGACACCTGGTTCTGACCCCTCATCTGGCAAATGGGGACAATGTCACTGCTGTAAGGAAATTCAGAGAATCACTAAATATCCAACGTACATCCATGAGTTGGGGGGCCAGGGGCCCTCCAATAGCCTCCCCAAGACGGTGCCCAAGGTTGTGGGAGCGTCCATCCAGGCCTAACTGCAGAGCCCCGCTCCCCACGACACGGGCAGTGCACACGCGGCACCCAGGGCCCAGGCCCATCCCGGCCTCCCTCGTGCTGCTTCTCTGCCCAGAATCTTGGAGGCCACGAGCACAGGGAGCACAGCCCGGGGCGCCCCTACTCCCTTGCAGAAGCGGGGTTCACCTCTTGCTGCCGCAGCTTGGCCTGTAGGGTCCACGCCCACAAGGCCCAGAGCCCGGGCTTGTGCGGGTGACTCAGAGGCCAGTGGCTGGGCCCCGGCCGCCCCTCCTCTGCTGCTCCCGGCAGCCGCTCTCCCCAGCCAGGCGCGGGCTGGAGATCCAGAAACCACGGAGGCCAGACCCAAACATCGTTCCTCACCTCGAGGGCTCCCAGCCGCCTTCCTCGTGCAGGCAGACAGGAAAGTCGCCAAGCCCACGCCGACGAGAACAAAACATGTTTTCCTCTTAACTTCAACAAGGCCTGGCGTGCAGGTCCTGTAGGCCCCTGTGTTTACCTCCCCGGGGCTCTGGGAAAATTCCACCCAGCGGGTCTGTTCTAAAATAAGAACGGCTCGAGCCAAGCATGGAAGGTCGAGCCTGGCCCCACGTGTGTGTGTGGGGGGACACTCAGGCGGAGAGCCGCCCTGCCGACCACCCTCCCAGGGGATGCTGCTTCCCTGGCCTCGAGGCCACTTGAGACCCCGACACTCCTACCACGCGCAGCGTCCAGGCAGGAGAGGCCCTCCGTGGCTGAGGAGGCAGAGGGACCAGGAGGTTCCACTTGGGTGTGACCCCACTCGGTCTGACGGCCAGCTGAGAAGCACGTTGTCGGTGAGGTCAGAGACGGTGGGGGGAGGTGACCTGCTCCCCAACCAGGTGGAGGGGGACAAAACTCGATGTCACCCCTCGACGTCACCCTCCTGTTAACCATCCAGTCACTTTCAACAAGGGGCCAAGCCCACCCAATGGGAAGAACAGTCTTTCCAACAAACGGTGCTGGGACAGGACCCAGGAGCAGCCGCGCTGTCCCAGGCACACACCAAAGGCACGAGCAACAAAAGAAGACAAAGATAAATGGACTTCATCAAAATTTAAAGCTTTTGTGCTTCCAAGGACATTGTCACCAAGGTGAAACACAACCCAGGAAGGGGAGGAAACATATGCACACCATGTACGTGACACGGGCCCCGTATCTAGGACACATAACGAACTCTCACAGCTCAAGAATAAAATAACAACCCAATTATAACACAAAGGACTCAAACAGCCTTTTTTGCAAAGAAGATACACACATGGCCAGTAGCACATGAAACGATGTTCAACATCATTAGCCATCCGGGAAATGCAAATCAAAGCCACCT